GAGTTGTTGGGCTAGCTCAGATCGATACTGTCGAGCTATGGCAGTTCTTCGAAGATAGTGGATTGGCATTCTTCTTGCCAACTTGCAATGGCCTGAAGAGAAAGGAATTGTCAAGCGTGTGCGCACCACGGGTATTCTGTGCTCTAAAACATTATTTTTCAGGAGCATATTGCACACTGCGTAGTTGCGTGTCTCACACCTGAACCGGTGCACAAAAATAGGGGGTGATCAGAGTGGGTGGATACAGCTGCACAGATTAGGCGAAAACCTAGTATTTCTATGGTTAACCTAGTTTCCAATGAGACAACATTTTGCGTAATAGACCTATGACTGGATGACCAAGTGCACGGACAAGTCAACTGTGATATTTCTTATTAGAAGCGGTGGTAGAAAAGATGGTATCCCCAAAGAGTGGATGCTATAGCACATACGATGGGGGGGGGCGGGCAACGAACAGTGCCAGTAGTCCAGGGGTCAGTGTCAGCTTGTTCATTTCTAGTTACCTGCTGGCATCTCCCACTCTCATCCGACAGGTGAAATTCGCGCAGTAACCTGAGCGCAACAACTGGTCGTAGAGTTGTGAGCGTGTAGGATAACCAGTTCTGTAGTACAACATTTAGCTGACACTGCACACAACGCGATACCCAGCCAAAGCTTCCGCGTTGTTTACAAGGCATTAGCTAACCAACCGAGATCAGTACACCAACGCGCAATTGCAATGGCTGAAGCTATCACCATACGACATCGCGAGCCGAACCTTTGTCGGCAAAAACGCTTTGTTCGTGTGTTGTACTTACCATGGTCTAACTCACCTACCCTCACGCATGCACCCTGTGCTGAACTTACAACTACAGTACCTCCCGCGATGACAAGCTTAAGTCATCTTATTGGTGACATGAACTAATTGTTCTTTGTTAGGTAGCCAGTGTCGTCTCTCACTCAATTCCCTGTCCATTTACACCATGCTCATTCAAATACGTCAAATACTATTCTCTTAACCTTTGCAACTGGATACCTTGAAAAGACCTCGTTCGTCAACCCATCTGCGTTCTTATTATAAATGGGAATTTTCGGAATATTACGTGTACCAATTGTTGGCTGCAGAAGTTCAGCTCGTTTTCACCAAACCACACCAAGCAGTCATTATCGTCCTCAAACCAGTTCCAAAACTGCTTATTTTGCAATGACTTTACTCGTGCTCTGCAGAATGCTTGAGAGTTGGACTCAGTGTCACTCGCTGAGTATGTAGTAAGAACGCGTGACCATAATTCGTCGGTTACGTATTACGGGGATTGTAGATTTTAGAAGTGAGTCTCAAGAAACGTAGCAGAGATTTAGCAAAGCGGATCCAGTGGCGGCCCACCGTAACCGACGGAATATCCGTACGAAATCACACCTCCATGAGGGCGGGCG